GTGGATCACATGGTTCTATGGTGGACCACATGATTCAATGGTGGATCACATGGTTCTACAGTGGACCACATGGTTCTACGGTGGATCACGTGATTCATTGGTGGATCACATGGTTCTACAATAGATGATATGGTTCAAAGGTGGATCACATGATTCTACAGTGGATCACATAGTTTTACGATAGATCACGTGGTTCAACAGTGGATCACATGGTTCTACGGTGGACCACATGATTCAATGGTGGATCACATGGTTCTACAGTGGACCACATGATTCAATGGTGGATCACATGGTTCTACAATAGATCACATGGTTCAACGGTGGATCACATGATTCTACAGTGGATCACATAGTTTTACAATAGATCACGTGGTTCAACAGTGGAACACATGATTCAATGGTGGATCACATGGTTCTACGGTGGACCACATGATTCAATGGTGGATCACATGGTTCTACAGTGGACCACATGGTTCTACGGTGGATCACATGGTTCAGCGGTGGATCACGTGGTTCTATAATTGATCACATGGGTCTGTGGTGGATCACATGATTCTACGGTGGATCACATGGTTCTACAGTGGATCACATGGTTCAGTGGTGTATCACATGGTTCTACGGTGGATGACATGGTTCAACGGTGGATCACACGGTTCTGCGGTGGATCACATGGTTCTATGGTGGATCACATGGTTCTATGATAGATCACATGGTTCTACGGTGGATCACATGCTTCTACGACAGATCACATAGTTCTACGATGGATGACACGGTTCTACGGTGGATCACGTGGTTCTATAACATTTTCGCTGCGTCTTTTTCAGGCTGGATCTTTTTTTCTGTGAAAGTTTTTTTTAACCATTTTTTAGAATCCATTTCTGAACATTTCTGAGGCTCTGACATGCTGACGTATTGCGGTAAGCGAGTTGTGTCATTTCCGGTGTTTCTGTGACAGCGTCTCTGTACTGCTCTAGTGAACTCTACCAGCCTGCTTTCTGCTTTCTCACTTCAGTTGCTTTAACATCTACTCCAAGTCTTAACTCACACTAGTTCTGACTAAGCACTTATAGCTCTCCTCCTTTTTACAACTTCCCTGCTAATCTCTTAGCTGTTGTTTGCACGTTACTAGCCTTGGTAGCTACATTAGCTTAACAGTTAGCGATGGCTTCTCCCTCTGCTCTTTCTTGCTCGGTGTGCCAAATGTTCAGTTATGCCTCTGCCTCCTTTAGCGACAGTGGTAATTGTAATAAGTGTAATAAGCTTATTTGCTGCATTGGAGGTGAGGCTTAGTGAATTAGAAGCGCGGCTCCGCACCATGGAAAATCATTCAGTAGCTACGGTAGTTAGCCAGCCCCCTGTAGCCGGTACAGAGCCACATAGCATAGCCTCTGCTAGCGGTCCTCCGGTAACACCCATGCAGCCGGGAGGCTGGGTAACTGTTCGTGAGAAGCGCAGCTCCAAGCCGAAGCCCACAGCTCACCACCAGCTTGTGCACGTTTCCAACCACTTTTCCCCACTCAGTGACACACCCGCTGAGGATAAAACTCTGGTTATTGGCAGCTCTATTCTGAGGAACGTGAAGTTAGCAACACCAGCGGCCATAGTCAAATGTATCCCTGGGGCCAGAGCAGGCGACACTGAGTCAAATTTAAAACTGCTGGCTAAAGCTAAACGTACAATCAGTAAGATCGTTATTCACGTCGGCGGCAATGACACCCGGTTACACCAATCGGAGGTCACTAAAATTATTATTGCTTCGGTGTGTGAATATGTAAAAACGATGTCAGACTCCGTAGTTTTCTCTGGACCCCTCCCAAATCTGACCAGTGATGACATGTTTAGCTGCATGTCATCATTTAATCGCTGGCTGTCCAGGTGGTGTCCAGCAAACGATGTGGGTTTCGTTAATAATTGGCAAACTTTCTGGGGAAAACCTGGTCTTATTAGGAGAGACGGCATTCATCCCACTTTGGATGGAGCTGCTCTCATTTCTAGGAACCTGGC